TATGAACAGCTTCATACAATCCCATACGTTCTATTTTGACACATAGTTACCGCCTAGCGTTTTCGCGTCCGTGCGAACGCTCGCTAACTCAATGTAAAAGAAGACAGAATATTTTATTTGAAACTTTGAATTAATCAGAAAACCTCAAAATAGAGCATGGTATACTTCAGGAGTGGGGGTTGAAAGTTTAGCCCCCCCCCCCCACTTGATGCCAAGCATGGAAGAAATTGTGTCGGAAGATTATGGGAGCCTACTTCCCCTTTACACATTTTTCGGACAAGGGAAGGGTAGGAATGGAAAGTAGGGATTACCCTCATTTATAATTATAGGTAAACAATGCAACTGCAAATTAGGATGTCTATTTGCAGCGGTTGCTTCGCTATTATGGCGAATTTTGCTATTAAAGTAGTAAAGTGATACATGACATAGTGTTGTCAGTATCACCTTAATTCTACTTTTTTAGATTCTTTCTTTTTCTCTTATATTTAGCTATACTGTATAAGTATTGATCTATATGTTTTTGTATAGATTTATACAATGAAGACACGCAGGATATAATATGATTTATACAAAAACACGTTTTAAGCGAACAAAACTAGAAATGTCAAGATACGTCTAAAAAGGTCTGGGACAAACTTTCGGTTTTTGGAGAGAAAACGTCGGCGCTATCGCTGAATATAAATTGCAAATTATACGTCGGAATTCAAACTGAATAGGCATAATTACATGTCTTGAATTAATTAACTTGCATTATGTTCGTAGAGAAAACTTTATCCAGAGTTTGTAAATATTTGCTACAGTTATAAACAACTTCCTGTTGCCCGCGACTTCGCAATAAGATAAAAAATAACCTATAATATACACATCTCTGTCAGTTACCCTTCAGTGAAAGTCTTGTCGAAATCAGGCCAGCTGTTTCGGAGATTCCCCGGAATAACGTAGCTCGCGGACAGACATACAGACAGACAAAGATATTTCAATTTTCGTTATCAGCAACGTAAATACATCATCTTCCCGAAATCTGGTATTTTTCTTATGATATTACAGACAGACACTCCAATTTTATTATATGTATGGATAAACATTGTATTGTATTCTTAAAACTATAACTGACAGTTACAATTTAACAATCTGTTCAACTTAACAGCTGTAAATCAGTTAATCATCATCTTACTAGACTTAATAGTTTTGGTAGAGTTTTCTGCTAAAACGGATTTCAATGAAATTTGGTATAGATGTAGAGGATAGTCTGCACACATAGACTAATCACTTTTGTTTTATTTAATACCTCACGGACGGTGTCGCGGGCGAAAGCTAGTACTTACAGATCTACGATAAGATAACAATTAGGAGGACAAAATAGTTTCTTCAGACGCGCACACAATTATTCTTTCAACACCTTTCATTCATGTTTACGCATACTTTTCATTTCGTTTGACTCGATCTGGAGTAATTTCGACCACTTTCTCTGGTCAAGTTTAAAACGGTTTTGACTGTCGATTTCGTGATGGATTTGTATGTATTTTTTTATAGCCAAAGCCAGTTTATAGCCAGCCATGAGCTTAGGGTGGGTGCTTGTAAATTTGTAATCAGAACATTTTATTCTTTTTTGTTATGTACACACATTTTTTGTTTTGGCCAGATAGAATACGAAACAACAGAAATAATCTTAACTTTAATCACAGATAATACAAAACCTTACTATAGTATGCTAGGTTTATGCTGGGTTTCTGAAGTTTCCACTTATTGTGTCATTACTTAGCGATTCATTAGTGTTAGTTTGGACTAAGTTTTTACAAAGTAAAACTCAGGTTACGTAGTTCGGAAACATTTTATGAAGTTATCGAATCAATAACACTAATGAATGGATAAATGTTATTGGGAAACTGGTCATAAATTCTAAGTTAAAGTCATAAGTTAATTAAACTTATACATATGTGGTTTATGAGAATATAATAATATTTTGTATTATACCATTTCGTTAACTTTCACTCTTCTTTCTTGATATACGTTGGAAAATATCGACCGACTTTCTCGTATATTTTTCATAGCTTCGTATAAATTGAAAAATATGTTATTCGAATTTAAGATTAAAGTAATCTACGTAATTGATTACTATTATTTTTATTAATAACGTAACGGAAGCTTTTATATCTGAGTAACTCTGTGGTGACAAAACAGATGACAAAGTGACATTTGGTACCTCTTGAACTTAACACCATCAATGTGTGTCATTATGTTTTAAACTATTTCCACTATAAAAACGTATTAGGTAGTCCCTTTTGGTTTTTAAATCGGTCTTTAGACAGTGGAATTGAACGCTTACATTTTCAAAAAACTTGCAGCATTTACCTGTTATCAGTCAGAGAAAAACAAATGAAAGTGTCACTTGAATTGCTTTGACCATAGAGGTATTAAAAATAGACGCTACTTGATAACAATTAAAACAAATATAGGCAGAGTTGACTAACATTAACACCCGGACGCAGTGAAAGTTGTGTACAAAATTCTTTCTCGCTAAACTATGACGTACGTTACCGGAGAAAAGGTTGCCAACCTGTTTCACCCATAAACCGGTTGAAATTTGACTTTTATTGTTAACCATGCCCTTAAATTAGTGATTTAATGGTTGGACATACTTACGGTAAATAAAGTCTGTGGCACATGACACAAAAGCGAAGTAAAATGTGAAAACAGAGTTTTGTGCCCGTTTACTTTGATTTAATTCTAAAGTATACCTGTTAAATTATTGACTGGAACAATGAAGTTAATTCCAATTACATCAATGAAATAGCTTGCTTACATCGCTTTGACGACAGTGTGTTAGAGGCTTTAGAACGTTAGAACTTTTTATCAAAAAGTATATGTTCTTTGTTCAGTCATCATCGTTCTCCTTATCCTACTCCCGTAGGTTTTTGTCCTCCAAATAAAGCTATCATACGTCATCTCAGTCATCACCCCCTTTTTGATCATGTCAGATTTTTCGCAATCCATCCATCTCTTTCTAGGTCTACCTCTACCGATGTACCTCCACACTCATAACTAACGTTCTCCTTGTAACATGCGATTCATCCTCTCATGACATGCCCATACCATGCTAACCTTTTACTCCTTACTTTACTACTGGGGCTATTCTCAAACTTCCTCTAATATACTCATTTCGTATTTTAATATAGTTCAGTATAGCTAAATATTGTTCTTATAGTTCAAAACATATTTTTAAATTTACATTTAGCATTTAAATGAAGATGAAGTAGTTTGATTTTTAATAAAAGTAAAAAAATGTCCATTTCTACGTAAAGTACATTGTAATATTAATGCACGATGTCACCTTGAAATATTATATTTATGAATACTTTCTCGCTAGCTTAAAAGCATAGTCAATAGAGATTTCTTGTTCTGCGTCGTATAAGTGACTTTCGGACATGTGCAAATAATGTTTTCTTTAATATTAACTATTCTGTTATCTTTTTTTTAATATTATTTGGATTATAGAAACATTTTTGACCGCGCAAATCTCTTTAATCTAACTTCGTACTATTATTTTCAAAAAGTTAAGATAGGATGGATGTTTGTGAAATTTGGCATAGATATAAAACATAGTCTAGAAGAGCACATAAATTCATATTTAGTTTTTTTTAATTCCTCGCAGACGTAGTCGCGAGCAACAGTAGTCTATTTTTACATAGGTGTAATGTTTTGTAAATCCCATCATATCCAACTCATTAAGCTTCGTATAAATGTAACTCGGCAATTTGAACGGAATGCGACGTCTATTCGAAATCAAAAGTCTATCAAGAGCACTAACGTAGATGTAAATCTTACAGAAGCGTTATGTCTCGGTCAGTGACATTGAGATGATTGCAAGTGTTGATGACCTTACTTCTATCGTTAAAAATGTACACGTTATGTCATCTCTATCTTTCTCGTTGAAAAAATAGAGACAGATGTTCAATGACAACGTTTATTTATAAAGAGTATAAAAGTTTAGGTTTGATTGGGGTATTACAAATTCGTCAATCTCTAGCTAGGTTTATAATCTATGCTAGTTATCTATACTATTATAATAAAACAACACACACTTTTTTGTTGCCTAAGATGTCAGCAATTACAGCATATTTTTGAATAATTCTTTCTTTAATAAAAAGCCCTACATTTACGTCACGCTTTAGGCTATATATTTTCACACCATTAAACTTAGGGAGTAAATACTTTGGATAAAACCCTAATGTGGTAAAGACACCATAAGTTTTTGCCAACATCAAGGAAACGAGATTGCCGAAGTTTGTTATGTTATGTCATTTTGACATTTGCTATTGACAATTTGTCAAATGTAAATAGTAACTTAAAATTTTTATAATCACATGCGAATGAAGCCGCACGGGAACAGCTAGTCATAAATATTTGTGTTTCTGTATGTATTCTAATAACTCAAAAACTACATGGCAGATTTCAACAATTCTTTCACCATTAAAAAGCTACGTTATCAGTTAGTAATATAGGCTATAATTTTTAGTTTCACGCGGATTAAGTCGCGAGCAACTAGTTTAAATTATTTGAAAAAAAGTGACTACTACTTAATTGCTTACTTATAAAATCGATGTTTTAGATTCAAATAAAAATATTTTTCGATACTACCAATAATAAATTATTACAAGTAGTAATCAAGATATTGTTTTATTACTTAATTTGAGTTATTTTATGAACGTGCTATAAAATGGTGTCAGTAGGCGCGTCCTTACTTTCTTCACAAATATGTGAGTTACTCGTTTTATTTGCATAATGTCGTTTGTAGATTGCTGTCACTTTTATTTACGTCTTCGAATAAGACTTGATGGTTGGTTGTGATTTTTATAACTTTATTCTATATATTTAAGCAATTTATTGCAACGGCTTACATAATAATTGTATTTACAAGTTAAGATATTAAAAAAACAAATAGACGAAGAGTGAACAAAATTTTTTCACCGGTACTTTCTCCGAAAGGTAACTTCTGTAACAGTTGTCAAGTTTAGTGCCACCTCGTGTTGTATTTTTTTTTTGTAATATAAGGTGGCAAACGAGCAAGCGGTAACCTGAATCCACTGAAATGGAAAGCGACCGCTGCCCATAAACATCCGCAATTGCAGATGCGTTGTCTATCCTTAATTGACGGAGGAGGAGACGCACATAAAGAGGATATTTTCCCTTCCTATGCATCTCCTCCATCGTCAAATTCACTTTACCTTCCCATCCTTTCCTCTTAAGAAAAGGGTGGAAGGGAAAAGGACTAAAATTAGGCCTTCGGCACAACACTCATCAGACTGTACGCGGAATTGCTTCTACATCACGCCTGTTTTCTGTGTGGTCGTGGTATTGCTGGGGGCGAGCCGACCCATTCGTGCGAATATGTTAAAGCGTGCTCTACCACTGTTAATATAATAATAATTAATCTGATATAAAACATTTTACAAAATTAGAATAAGCTCCATCTTTTGTCATTAAATAAACTAAACGGTTTAAACATTTAAATACAATGAATTATATTGACATGTGATTTTGAGGTTATAAATAAATGACGTTAGTAAGATCATGTGAAGAACATCTCAAGTGAAGTGTCAACCATGCCTACTCAAAATTTTTTATACAAGTGATTTTAACATTTGCTAAATAATTTAGCATATTTGGTGCAAAGTAGATATAATATGACGTTACGTACTTCATATTTAAATATCAAAAAGAGTCTTTAGATAATCCTTGCGTTAATATTAACCAAGTAACTTAAATGCGACTTCCATTTGATCTAATTCCGTGTTGACGCTGCACGCGCCACTGGAAAGCGTAACGAATGCTCGCCTCGGAATCCAAAACAAGACGATGTTCACTGATGTGTGTAAAGACATCTTCATCTTTTAAATCTCATGTTATCCTGGTACCTCAAATTTTAAACGGAATTATTTGTAAACTGACGGAAAATTGTACACTAATATTTTTTGAATAACGGTAAAAATAATAAACTCTTTATTGTGCTATGACAAAATAAGTTTTGAGAATATTTTGCTTTGTCGAGAAATTATAAAATAGTAGTTCCTCTGGTGTTGCGGATGTCCATGGGCGTTGTTAACCACCTCTGTGTTCCCGACGCTCGTCCCCTTCTCTTATTAAAAAAAAATAAAAGTGTGCTTTTTATCACACAACGTTATATCAGACTTAATAACAAACATTAATTTTGTAAATGTAGGTAAGAAGTATGTTTGAACAATGTATGCTGTAAAATAATCCACTTTCGACAATAAATAATAACAAAATTGTAAACAAAAGACAAAGATCGATCGGATTTCTTTTGTTTTTATTAAATTTCTTTTCAAGATACATTATATTTTGTACGTAATCTACTTTACTGATTATTGTTATCAATTCCATTAATAATACGGAAATGTTCCAGAAGTTTCTATCATTAGTCAGTCACAACAATTTTCAATATCATTTGCAATCGTCTATGATGACTTCGTAAAATCCACCATAGTGGTTGACAAATTAATTTTATTTAAATACTAGCTGTTCCCGTGCGGCTTTATATTTGACAAATTATCAATAGTAAATGTCAAAATGACATGATATGACAGACCTTAGTAATCTTGCTTTCTTGATGTTGGCAGCATCTTATGATCTCTTTCCCACATTAGGGTTTTTATCCAAAATATTTACCCCCTTAATGGCTTGAAAATATATAGCCTAAAGCGTGACGTAATTGTAGGGCTTTTTATTAAAAAAGGAATTATTCAAAAATATGCTGGGATTGCCGACATCTTAGGCAACAAAGAAATGTGTGTTTACGCTTTATTATTTTAGTATAGAAAAGGAGCTATTTACCTAAAGATCCCTTTAACATAGAGTTTGTTTGATTCCCGCTATATAAGAAAAAATGTAGAAGAAATATAAATGTCTATGTTATAGTCTACATTTCATTCATTGATGGTCGATAATCTTCAAGCAATCCGGTTGTACTCGTGTGACCGGCATAGTTGTCAAGGCACACTTTATACGACCTTCTTCTCTCTTGATGAAAAGTAAATACTACATTGGGGTTAAGAAAACTCATTAATTGTTTACGTACTTTTCTAAAAAAAAACATGTAATTAGATATTAGAATAGTAAACACAGTAATTTTTTATATACCTTTTTTGAAGTGCATGTAACAGAAGAGCGTTATTGAGTGTGGAATACCGGTAGAGGTAGACCTAGAAAGAGATAGATGGATTGCCTGAAAGGTGATATGAAGAAGGGAGTGATGACTGAGATGACGTATGATAGAGTTATGTGGAGGACAAAAACCTGTTGCGCCGACCCTACTTGAGTAGTATAAGAAGGAGGGTGATGACTAATTTTCCCTATACCCTGTCTACTATAGACTTCTAATCGGCCGATGGTTTGATCAATCATACTTCATGCTAATATTATAAATGCGAAAGTTTAGATGGGTGGAAGGATGGATGGATGTTTGTTAGAGTTTGTAGCCTATACGGCTGAACAGATTTTGATGAAATTTGGTACAGATATAGAGAATAGTCTGGAAGAACACATAGGCTACTTTTTATCCCGGAAATAGTTACGGTTCCCGTGGCATGTACTAATTTCGTATTTAAATGTTTACTCGATAATTCTGCAACGGTTCAACATATGTTATTGAAATGTGGCACAAATATAAAACAAAATCTGAAGGACACATGGGATAAGGCTCATCTCCGAAAAATGTCCGGTTCCCAAGGGACACGTTATTTACATAGTTCGTCTGTTTTCTAATACCACGCGGACGAAGTCGTGGACAACAGCTAGTAACTGCATATAAATAAGTATAAAATCTCATTTTAACTGTTCAAATTTTAAACGATATTTCTTTTTTTGCAGATGAAAATCGACATGCACAATTGAGAAGAAATCGACAAAAAGAAAACCTTCTACATTAAAACGAAAAATGGGATCATTACAAAAGACATACGCTAACAGAAGTTAATATTTTCAGTAATGCTGTGACGATGGCAATTAAAAATGTGTTTAAGTGCGCAAAAGAACAAAACGAGAGGCGAAAGACTCTCAATATGTTTAATATAATAAAAACTAGTGTAATTTTAATTCTAATGAACACAAATAAAGTGAATTGCAATGAAAATGTAACAGAAGAAATAAGAAACATAGAAAAAGATATACCGAGGAGGTTAAAATTGTTAGAATCTATATCTGGGAGATCTTTGAACAGTGTTTATCAAAATGGTACATTTAATACTGGAAATAAATTGTGGGATAACATACTTAATGAATGTACATTCAAGCCATCAGTTAGTTGTCTACAAAAGAACGTGTATTCTTATTTAGATGAGAGTTTAGATTTTAGTGGTGATGTGAACGTTGCTAGTGGTATGTGCTTCAAGAAAAATAATGTGGACATCAATAAATATAGTAAAGAAGCAAATATTATTTATGTTACTGGAAGTAAAAAAGAAGATAGTGATAAAAGATCGTTGGATGAAGAAAATGAAATCAACCACCAGGATGAATCAGGTTAGTAATCAAATTTCAAATATTTTCCTTTTTTATAATAAGAAGAAAATAAAATAATAGGAGTAACTAATAATAAAAATGCAGAAAAAGTTACGTTTACTTTTAATCGATTCTAAGCACAAAAGATTCAATGGGAAAAAAGGATGGAAGACATCAAACAAAAAAACTATAAAAGCATCATCATATCCTATACCTTATCCTACTTTCGTAGTGTCGGCGCACCGGGTTTTCGTCCTCCCAATAACTCTATCATCCGTCATCTCAGTCATCACTCCCTTCTTGATCATGTCACCTTTCACGCAATCCATTTCTTTCTACGTCTACCTCTCACAGTGTTCCCTTCCACATTCATAACTAAAATCATCCTGTATTATGGGCAGATTGTCTTATAGGTCAATCTGTTCAACTAGAAATAATCTATATAATGTAGGTATGAATGTTTTAGAACACACTGTATCGTATTCTCCAGATTTGACGGTCACCAAGTCAAATATATTCTAAGTTCTGAATTTCTAATCATTCAACATCCCGACAATGCCCAATTCATAACCTCAAGCATAGAAAGCATTAACGCATTTCAACCTCGTACGCAGTGACAATGAGCAGTACATATTCGTGTCACATCCGCCTGGTTGTGTTATAGAAATCAGAAGACAGTCCGTTTTAATGTGACCTCCACCCGTTTCCTTTTTGACTTAGAAACGTGTGAAGTTTAGAATATACCAGTTTGCATACTTAACGCCAACTTAGTGTTAATCTGTTTTACTTTCTTATTCATTTAGTAAATAATTGTTCTTGCATGTTTTCGTGAAAATTAATGAATCACTACTTTTAGATAACTTATTTAATTGATACTGTCGCTTTAAACTCAGAGCAACACTTCTCGTCAAGACTCAAGTTGCTCGCCAATCTATCCATACTTCTAGTGAAATTGACAGCTGTCAGCTAGGGACGTGACGTTTATGCCGATAATCTAGAGTTGCGCCAATTCTACAGCACGGTACTAATTTTGTTCTTAACACTACATAGTAACTATAAAAGTTGTTTCCTGCTGTCTGTCCCTACGTATGCTTAGATCTTTAAAGCTACGCCACGGAAATTGATGCAGTTTTTTATAGAGTGATTCAAGAGGAATGTTTACATGTATAATGCAGTAGTAATATCATAATAATTTTAGTGGTTTCTAATGTGTTGTCATGAATAAGCGCTTTCTCGTATCAGTATTAGACCCGTGTAAAGCCGGGATTGATCACAGGTTAAAAATAATCACAAAAGTAATTTATTTCAAGTTTATTAATATCATGTTAATAATTTTAATCAATTTATGATATTTTTGTTCAAGCTTTTGAAAGCTTTATTTAGTAGACAAATAAATAAGGAAACAGGGTAACGTGGGTGTAAATTTTAAGTTTACTAAAAGCAAGCACTTTCCTTTCATCTTTCTCGTATATGGAATTATGCCCAAAATACTTTTCGTAATACTAACCGTATACTGAAACGGCTTTTAAATATAAAACAGCGTCATCTATACTAATGTTATAAAGAGGAAAGATATGTATTTCTGTATGTATTACATTTACGTAAAAAATACTAGGCCAATTTAATAAATTCGTTCATCATTAGAAAGGTTTTATCTATGAGTAACATAGGCATTTTTTTAAATTTCATACGAACGAAGTGGCGAACAACAGCTAGAAAATAAAGGCGTTTACATTACAATACATTGATAATTTGACGGCTGTCAGATTGTAAATAATTCCATGTTTAAGATTCGTTACAGAATTAAGCGGTAAAAGTCCTAAATCAAAATCTGTACCAAAATATTTTTATTACCTTTTGCAAACATTTATACAAATTTTTTAGTCATCTGAGAATACTTTGTATTGAAAATGACATTTTAACCTTCAAGTAAAATCAGGTTCTAGTTACTTACAAATTATCATTAAAATTTGAATTACAAATTAAGAATTTCTCTTGTCATTTGACTTGTACAGTTCCGTTGTCAAGTTTTAGTTCGAAGGTCATAATTTGCAATGTAGGACTAACGGTACTTGTATTCTTTACTGTACACAAATGTTTAACGACAAATGTTTTATTCTTAATTCAAACAACAGTTAAATGTTATGGTCGCTAAATAAAAAAATGCAGATGCGTTGGCAACCTGTGATCGAAGGAGGAAAAGACATATAAATGGATAGTTCCTACGCGTCTTCTGCGTCAAATCCACTTTCCCTCCTTTTTTCCTTATATTATATTAAAACTAGCTGTTCCCGTGCTGTTCACCAGCATAATTTTTTTTACTGTTTACATGTTTCAAATTGTCAATTGCAAATGCCAAAATGACATGACATGACAAAACTTGGCAATCTTGCTTACTTGATGTTGGCAGCAACTTATGGTCTCTTTCAAACATTAGGGTTTTTATCCAAAATATTTACCCCCTAATTTTAATGGCGTGAAAATATATAGCCTAAGGCGTAACGTAAGTGTAGGGCTTTTTATTAAAAAAAGAATTATTCAAAAATATGCCGTAATTGCTGACATCTTAGGCAACATAAAAGTGTCTGTTTACGCTTTATTATAATAGTATAGATAATAATTAGGTCTCCGACACACAACTTATTATACGTAACACTGGATTTCTGCACTCCACCCTTGTCTTCTGTGTAATCGTGGTCGCACAAGGCGAGCCCTTAGCGAAATGTTAAAATGGGCTCTACCACTAAAATTCAATTTGACGCTTGCCCATTTGTCTCCTTATACTATTAAGATAAAATGCCACTAAATATCTATAAGAAACTGAAATTTAAATTAAATGTATTCCGTCAATAAGACTCCACCTTATAAATAAACACAGGTCTGTCATGTGATGTACGCATAACCTGAATTACCGCCATTAGTGTGAAAACATATGAAGGGGAAGTAATGATGTGTAAATTATGCCTGGTTCACACTTGGCTAATACAGTTGGACAGTAGCGCTTAAGTGGCATTCAACTGGAATAATGTAAAAATAAATTGGCGGCATTGAATCCCTACTTATACCTACGATTGTAATGTGCTGGCCACGTGTGTACCGCGCTTTAAGGGAAAAAATGTCTAATCTGATTTTTATATGTTCATGCAGTCTTTTACGACTGTCTTTATATTCCTTATTTAAAATAGATTCGAAATAAAATTAAATAACTTGGTAGAGAAACAATTCTAAGCCGAAAATAAGATAAATAGAATGAAAAAAATTATCAAAACCTAGAACAAACTATGGTCAAAAAACTATAACATTTGCTGGAGTAAAATTATATAATACTTAACCTAAACTTATCAGAGATGAAAATGAAATGTCGTTATTTAAAAGTAAATTAAAAAAAAAATGTAAAGAGCATAAACTATTAATACATATATATGATAAACTAAACTACTGATGTAATTTGTAAATGTAAAAAAAAATGTTTCTCGATAAGTGAATTTTATATTCTTAAGAGAAAATAAATATCCTAAACCGCAAACCTTACAGAAATCGTTGGTAATTTTTTATCTAATAGCTTGTATTTATTTACCAAAGAGTAAATATCACAAAATCTTACTTCTTCCAAATTCATATTGCAAAAGTTTAGATGGAAGGATGTTTGTTAGAGTTTGTAGTCTAAATTGCTGAACGGTTCTGATAAAATTTGGCATAGAAGTAGAGGATAGACTAGAAGAACACATAGTCTACTTTATGTCTTTTTATAATTCCATGCGAACAGAGTCGCAGGCGAACGCTATTATTTTATAATATTTTGGCAGAGCTCACGGTCTAGTACTCAAACCCACATACAAAAGTACATTCGCGGTCTAAATTTCAGAAGTGACATGTGCAGTGGACGGTTCAGCGCGTCTGTACCATAATTAGGATAATCAAAGAAGTCATCAGAGCGTACACGACATGGAGAACCTTAACTACAATTATCAATATATTTTTATTGTTTCTTTTGTTTTTTTTTTAAAACTGCTTTGGGACGTTACATGTATGTGGCCAGTACAGTGTTACGTTCTACCAAAGAGGTTAATTGTCTAATAAAAGCGTGTATATTTGACTAAACTGTTGCATAACTGTTTAGTCGCGCGTTGATTCCTACGGGCTTATATAAATAAATAAATAGGATTTTTATTGCCACAACCTACATAAGACATATGTAGTTGCGCACACTATCCGTTTTTTAGTTGTGCAACTAATTGTTGAATTGCCTGCGAAACAATCGACAATCGCAAAACCGTTGTGCGATAGTTTAGTAGAAGGTTTGCGCCCGCTCTATTATTGTTAAAAATTGATTTACCAATATTAACACTGCTTTTAAGAATACTCCGATTAGTTAATGTTTCTTTATACTAGCTTCCGCCCGCGACTGTTTCCGCGTGGAATTAAAGAAAAAAAAACAAAAGTGCGCAGTCTATATGTCCTTCCAGACTATCCTCTACAACTGTACTAAATTTCGTCAATACCTGTTAACCCATTTGGCTACAAACTCTAAAAAACATACATCTATCTAAACTTTCGCATTTATAATATTAGTATTAATGGAAACTGACTTCTATTGTAATATAAAAAAGTTGGTTTAAACGTTTAATCTTGTCTCCACGAAGATAAACGATTTTCTTACATAGATTAAAAAATTTCAAATTTAAAGCAAAATTTAATTAACAAGATACCAAGAAACGAAAGCATTTCACTTCCAGTGAAAGTAAAATAGACTAAATCGCTAATGATATTGGTATGTTCTAAAACATATCGTATCACTATGTGTTAAAGATCATTATGCAATGTACAATCCCGGCATCAATTATTTGACAGGCGCTTATTGAAATTACTTGTGCAATAAACGTAATCCTTATTATGTAGGTTGTAGAGATGATAATCGATTGCGTAAGTCTGCTAGCGTCTCGGTAAAGAAATTTTTAAATGTAAAAGTTAGGAACCGGATTCACTGCAATGTTTAAAACAATAACACATTCTGAATTCAAAGTGTAATTAATTTATTGTCAGTAATTTTTTCTTTTACTTTTTCTTACTTTGGGAAAATTTATATTCTAGACGTATAAGTAGAAGATTCTAGAACAAGAGTTCTAGAGGGGCTTAACGAAGGTCATTGAAATAAGGCACAGGTAGAATATAATTTGGAAAAACATAGTAACTTAGGTTACATATTATGGTTTTTTTTATTCAGCGAGATATAGTTTAAATGCTAATATCTGATGTAAACATAAGGCAACGTTTATTTGATCTTAACTCGATTTTTTATATCTAGGTCACAAGATCTATCTCGTGCGAACTCAAAACCACAGAATAAAAGTTTAACTAACATAAACGTGACAACACAAAGTTCAAATAAATCTGCTAAAAACCGAATACACATGTCTTGCTATAACTTCAATTCCATAATAAAACTAAATCTAGCGAACAATTTGTATAGTAGCGGTTTTAACGCACTTTTGTATTGTTATCGAGTATTTCGTTGTTTTACGGAGTTCATAATTGACATTATAAAGAAAAGCTATGTTTCCAAAAATTATATTGTAACGCTAATGAGGTTTTATTGAATTAAACATTTAGTTCTTAAAAAATAAATAAAAAATAAAACACACTCGCTCTCTGGTCCTTATGTATGTTTTGATCTTTAAAACTGGTTAAGCAATAATTAGTATAATGCTGGCCGCCAAGAAAGTAAAATAAAATATTGTATTTAAAAATAAAAAGAACAAAGTTTGAATGTGGAGAGAAAAATGTGACGCGTGCGATGTAACAACATTTTTTTGGTAACAAATGCATTTTTATCAATTTCTATAAATAGTGTGGTTTTATCAGCAAATTAAAAAGAATTAAACAATGGCCCTAGTTTTACATTTATTCAAAAACTACGCAACGAGTTTTAATATTTTTTTTTTTAAAGACACGGGTGGTTCAATGGGAAAGTCTGCATGCATAATACTTGTATAGTATAGTAGAGAAATACTAATAATTTTAAAGAATTCTAATGTGATAAAAATAATCATATTTCTGTATCAGCATAGATCCACGCGAAGTCGGGGTGTGGCTAGTTGTTCACAAAATATATTTTAGTCAATATGTGTTATAAAACACTACTTAAATAACCACTAACTAAGTTTCTAAGTTCTGACCATGTTAGTAATATGCGTAAAAGCAATTAATCGTACGTTTTTGTGTTGTAATGTTTACGTATAACCAACGTTGTTTAGATGTATATTACGACTTTCTTAACACTTCCGTAACGGAAAATGTGTGAAAAGCAATCGACAATACGTCATAACGAACGACAGTCTATTGTTATTGTAACTTGAAGTCAGCTTTCACGTGCAGTAAGTACAGTCGCGAAAATCCGCGGTGTTCAAAATTGCCGGGTGATTGCAATGAGACAAACTCCGCTTCTTTCTACAAATAACTAATCAGCTGTGAGTGCAAACGAAGGGATAATAATAAAAAGAAACTATTCGAGATGGGCTAATCCCAGTCAGCCTTTCCGGGTATCTGAGGCGAGTGGGACACCGGGACGGTGTGCTCTTAGCTCAGATGCAGAAAGCGGTGTTTCTGGACACCGCCCGCATTGTCCGCCGGTTTCTCTCCCTTTCACCCTAACCCTCGGCTGTCTGGTCACCTCTGCCGAGAGAATCCCGTCTGGCTGGTATTATTTATGTATTTTATTATTTTTTATTTAAGCATGTTTTATTATTATATTAGTATGTATACAAAAATATATTTTTTTTTTATTTATATGTAAATGCCAGCCAGACGGAGACATAATAACAGAAACTATTCGAGTATTACTAAGCGACTTTTTTCATACAGACACATTTATAAGCTGCGTTGTATTGTTTTTTATTCCGCGATTCGTTACAAAATGTTCAAACGATTGTAGCTTTGAGGTGGAACACCACCAGTTTCCCTGACTGTACATAGCAGTCAGAATCTGGCGAATTTCAAACTGAAACCTACAATCGTTTGAAGGATTATTCCCAACCGTCACCCCGCTCTGTCCCTACGTGAGAATAAAAAGTTTCATCCGTCCCACCACTTAGTCCCACTATCACCAATAAGGTAACAGATGTAACCGTTATGAAATAAAATAAGTTCCAACCGTCTCCTCGTCGCAAAAGGACGAATGAAACTTTTTATTCTAATCTGTTCACATATGGGGACAGAGCGGGGTGACGGTTGGGAATTATCCCGTTTAAACGTTAAGGTAATAGATTTGTAGACAAAACATTTTATACGACTTTGTGTACATCACTATTTTATTAAAAATCACTTTTATACGTCTAACGTTATAGAAAGTAATACGAACATTATCTGGAACGTGAGATGTAAATGATAATATTGAGCCCGATAGTGCAGAGTAATAAAAAAGATAATAAAAAAAATTCAATCAGATTTCATTGAATAGGGAAAACAGTTGTTGTTAAAAAAAGTGCCATTGAACATAAACAATACGTCATTAAAACCCCTTTAATCTATACTAATGTAATAAAGAGAAAAGGTTTACATTTTTGCATGAATTTAAAAAAAAATCTTTCATCATTTAAAAGGTTTATTTATCTGTTAATAACATAGGCTATTTTTATTACGCTGACGAAGTCCCAAACAAGAATTATAAAAACTTTTTTTTATTGTTTATATTTGTCAAATTCTCAATTGAAAATGTCAAATTTATTGTTACCATTATAACCTTACTTCCTTAATGTTGGCAGCTTGTAGTTTATGGTCCCTTTCCCACATGAAGGAGTTTTTTTAATTTATTTATCCCCTAAGTTTGATAGTTTGAAAACATACAGCCAGAAGGGTGTAAAAGTGTAGGAACTTTTATTAAAGAAAGAATTATTCAAAAATATACTATAATTGCTGACATTCTGCGCCAAAAGTAGTGTGTCTTTACGTTATATTACATAAGTATAGATTGATTGATTCAAATAGATTTGAAAGTAGCGCCAGTGGTGGAGAAATTGAAAAGCAAAAGGTTAACGTGGTATGTACATGGTTTGCGACGAGACGATGGGGACATAAACCAGAAAGTGTTAAGATTGAATATAGGCTTTAAAAGTAGAGGAAGAAAGAAATCGATCGAATAAAGTATGGATGGATTGTGTGAAAGAGGATTTGCTTAAGAAAGGAGTGGATTCTGATATGACGGCTGATAGAGATGAACTCTTCCAGAGTAGCACATACTGTGTCGACCCTCCGTAGGGATAAGGGCAAGTGGGTGATGATAAATTAAATTAATTAGAAATTCTCTCCTCCACAGAGACTCCATTAGAAGAAGTAACAGATGCCCTATACGACAAGGGAGTGAAATTTCTAATGGAACACGATCTTAAGATGACATTACCCGAATTATTCTTCCACGAGACTACATTGAAAATCTCTCCCCGAGCATTAACGAAGACTGGAGCTCTAGTGCATATAGATTTGGAGCCAAAGGAAGACGTGGGACAGGGGAGGATATTCTTTCATAAAATAAGTGAGTATCTTTTTTTATTTAAAGACTGATGAGGACTGGTGATATTATTTATACACCTATTGGCAATTATTTTAAACATAATTATATTGACATGTAGTTTTGAGGATCTATTAAAAGATAGCGCGTAAGAATATGAGAAAAATGTTACAAGTGAACTGTCACCCATAACTCTCTACATTTTTTAATATCTTTGGTACCTAATATAGGTACCTAATTTCAGCTAGATCCGTTGAAAATTGAGGTAGTAAACAAGCGTCCTTCTATCTAAACTTTAGCATTTGTAAGAGTAAGAAGAAAGATTATAGAATCCAAGGTCACTGCTTTTTCGTTGCTATAAAATCTAAATGATGTTATTTTGTTTCAGAGAAGTACATCAAAAAGAAACTAGTAATGGCTGCTCTAGCCATCATCTTAGTTGTAAAACTAATCGCTTTGAAGTTGATATTTGTGTTACCGTTAGTACTTGGAGTGTCTACCGCGAAGAAGATGTTTTTGAAATTCCTCCTGTTCCTATTCCCGGCATTGAGTCATATATTCAAGCTCTGCTCTTGGTATCACCAGAATTATCATACTACGAAGTATCATCATCATCATCATTTGATAACACATCACCATCACAAGGTAAGACAATATAAGACATGCTTTTAACAGTTTTTTTACAGTGGTAGAGCCCGCTTTAACATCTTCGCATGAATGGGCCGGCTTGCCCGGTGTAACACCATGACCACACAGAAAACAGGCGTGAAGTGGAAGCAATTTCGCGTGTCGTCTGATGAGTGTGGTGCCGGAGGCCTAATTTTAGTCCCTTTCCCTTTCCACCCTTTTCTTAAGAGGAAAGGATGGAAAGGAAAGTGGATTTGACGGTGGAGGAGACGCATAGGAAGGGGAAATGTCATCAGGTGCGTCTCCTCCTCCGTCAATTAGAGTAGGCAGCGCATCTGCAATTGCGGATGTTTATGGGCAGTGGTCGCTTTCCATTTCGGTGGATTCAGGTGGCCGCTTGCTTGTTTGCCACCTTATAATATAAAAAAAAAATACAGTTCTACTGTTGTGTGCTGGCTTAAGGTTAACGGTTAGACGACCGCTCAGGGTGATGAACAGAAAGGAAAGACACAGGACTTTGAATTAGATAGTTTAACATAATTCTCTTAATCCTCCCTCCCCTAAAACCTCTACTATCATAAATTCTGCCATAAAAGAAGGGGCAAAAACCTAGAACTAATTATGGCTATTTTTTGTCAAATATAGTAGAAATCATTGCACTTTCTCTTTGGTGTAATTTAGTTAACAAATGAATATAATTTATATCACGAATATGAAAAAAGATGTACTTTCATATCACTTTTGATGACAAATAAATAGACAGCTAAGAAAACAAACGACAGTCATGTATGGTATATCAGCAGATTTTATTTATTTCATTAATATTTGCTTTAACCATTTCAACTGAGACTTTACGAAAGATATTGAGGATTCGGAAATTAAACCCTATTATTACTATATATAAGTATCATAATAAAATTGAACAATCTCCATGGCATACTATAGTTGTATTATTTCAGGCACCGTACGCACCGGCGTATGGTCACCCATCCCACGTTGCGGTGAAGCCACACGTAGAACATCATCCGCACACACTTGACTACAATACTCAGGACTGGGAACTCTCCGGGCCGGGACTTGGCAGCGAGTAAGCATTTGTTGTATATACTTTAATGTTATAAAGTGGAATGATTTGTATTTTTGGATTTATGTATGTTTTGAAATTTCCTTCCTTTTGCTTTCCACCATTTTTCTTATACGAAAAGGATGGGAAGGGGACGTGGATTTTACGGTGCATGACACGCATAGTAAGCGGAAATATCCTCTTTATGTGTGTCTCTTCCTCAGTCGATCAAGGGTAGGCAATGCATACACTGTGCGAATGTCTATGGGCAGTGGTCGCTTCGCCATTTTGGCGGATTCAGATGGCCGCTTACTCGTTCGCCACCTTATAATATAAAAAAAACTGGGCCGATTTAAAATTCTTTGACTATTAAAATACGTTATCAGTAACATAGGCTACATTTTGAAGAATTGTGTAAACTTAAATACCGTAGAAGGGTAAAAAAGGATTGAAGGTTCCCACATAAATTCAAATAAATAATTTATACGTATAATGCAAGTGCGTTATCTATTGCTTCCATTGGTCTTTAGCATTAAATCCAAACCCACGCAATTAATAAAAATGTGTTTTCAGGTACATTGGATCAGATATACATCGCAATGCTATAGCTAACTTTAAACCACACGCGAATGACATCAATGACATCAATTCTTGGGGTCTTGGTCTTCCACCAGGTAATGAATACTTTTGTTTATATTTTACTAGCTTTCGCCCGCGATCCGTCCGCGTGGAATTAAAAAAAATACTAATAAGCCTATGTGTTATTCCAGACCATACTCTACATCTAAGCCAAAATTTATCGAGATTCGTTCAGCCGTTTAGGCTACAAACTCTAACAAACATCCATCCATCTAAACTTTCGCATTTATAATATTAGTGACATTAGTAAGATTACTTGATTTCTGTAGTAACAAGAACTATGAAATACTTCGAGTAGACAGACCCATAGAACTCACAATCTCAAACACCCCACATTCAAAAAACCTCAGAAACTCAAATATTTCAATCTCCAAAACCTCATAAACTCAAAAACTTCATACGTCTATGTGACATCTGGTAATTAAAGATTGTTTGTTTTAAGATTTTTATTTAGACAAAGAATAAAAGTAAATGTTAAGTTATTTCAGGTCAAGCAAACATTGGTGACTACGCGAGCAGTAACAACGCAGTACCTAATGTGGTCGCCGCGCCCAGCGGAGGACATAAGGTCCCTCCTGGCAGTCCTATAAGGTAAACCATAAACACATTCATAAACTTAACATGACTGTACTCTAACTATAACATAAGTAGGTATTGGAAATCTTTCTACGCAATGGGACTTAGTTTTAAAGATAAAAAAGTCTATTCTGCGAAAACTGTTTCTTTCAAAGAGCTTAATAAAGTAGAACTATGTTTTGATTTTTAAAGAATTTTAATTAAAGTTAAAAGGAGATTAATAGGTATAAAAGGTGTCATAATTAAAGAAAAATCGATGACTAAAATAACAGAAAGTAAATCGATTTGAAACACAAAAACCTGGTTCCAAATCTACATAAAGAAGGGTCAGAACAAGGGCGATTATAGTCTTAAAACAAAACACGATATAGATTTTCACTTGTTTTGTGACGTTTCAATTGTTATTGCATTTTAATGTCTCATTATTAAAGACTAGATTTCGCCCGCGACTTCGTTCGCGTAGAATTAAAAAAAAAACAAAAGCGTAGCTTATGTGTTTTTCCAGACTATCCTCTACATCTGTACCAAAATTCAGCGAGATCCGTTGAGTAGTTCAGGCTACAAACTCCAACAAACATCTATCCATCCATCTAAACTTTCGCATTTATAATATTAGTAAGATAACTTAAGGCTTTCACATGTAAAAGTTAGTTCATTGAGCTATAAAATATTACATAACAATCGCGTGCGAGTGAAAATACTTCGCTCGGACGATTCACGTTTTATACAATATTAAATTGTAACAACATTTTATCACGACATTGTAGCTGATGATATATCTCTGTAACGAATTGTTCACTTTTAAAACATCTTACTCATATAATAAATGCGAAAGTTAAGATGGATGGATGTTAGAGTTTGTAGCCTAAATGGGTTAACGGATCTAAATGAAGCACAGACGTAGAGAACAGTCTGGAAAAACACATAGATTACTTGCTTTTGTTTTTTTATTAGTATAAAAAATACCTTAACAATTTATTAATATACTACGTAATTGAAATAGAATTCTAATATATTATAATAAATTATAATATATAGAACTGTCCCATGTGTTTTAAATAAACATTTTTAATCTAGAAGTCAATGTGTTTATATGATATTTTCAGTTATTACTTATAATTCCAGGCCCGTGGGACCTCCCAATCCTTACTACAGGAACAAGAAAGCGACAGCAAGAGATCCAGAAAAAGAAGCACTAGTAAGTTAACAATAAAGTTTATTTTTTCTTAACTAATTCCAAGCGAATTACGAATCGATTAACGAAGATGAATGAAAACATTGAAACAATTGAATTGAACGAACGAAATCATCAAAACGTTTTATATAAAGAGATGCAGAGCAACATGAGAGAAATGCGACTGAATGATCTGAACGAATGATTTAAATTTTCAGATACGGGCAGCATCGCTCGCGGCTCGAGCGCCCGCGTCCCCCGTCAGAGATGAAATACTCAGAGTATCACAGGCGAAGTTGACAGAAACAAATCGGGTTAAAGCAGAGACAGAACTAGTGAGGCAGCAGCAAGAAATACTCGCATCTCAGGATCCTGTGAGTATTCTTTGACTAAATTGAGTTACTCAGTATTAACTCTCTCAGAATTATGAGAACTTGAATATTTAGAGTCATTCCTACCAATTTTTGTAAATTGTCTGAGAACAATCCAACGAGAAAATATGTGATGGAAATATCGGATATTGTTATCTTATCTGACAGTGACGTAATTTTTAAGCTATCTGAGCCTCTATCAGCTAGTGGTAGGAAGACCCTAAATCTCAAAATTTAACGTATAGAAATGATCATGTAAATTCTGTGCACGCTCTCCTCAATTTAATATTATCTTACTAATATAAATGGAAAGTTTGGATGGATGGATAGATATTTGTTAGAGTTTGTAGACAAAACTGCTGAGCGAATTGATGTAATTTAGCATAGATGTAGATAGTCTAGAAGAACACATAGGCTACTTACTTTATTTTAATTCTACGTGGACAGAACCGCGGGCGAAAGCTATATCGTAAGAAAAAAACGAAATATTGATTTTCTCAGATGTCATTACATTACGAGACCTTATGTAAGAGTATAAAGAGACTAAGAACTCTCTCTTACTTGTAGACTCTAAGAATGACAATAACCTACTTAGTTAATAAATTATTATTAACGAGCTGTTGCCCGTGACTTCGTCCGCGTGGTATTAGAAAACATACGAACTATAAAAATTACAAAAAGCTACGTATCCCTCGGGAACCGGACATTCTCGGGGATGAAGCTTATCCCATGTGTACTCCAGACTTTATTTTATATCTGTGCCAAATTTCAATAAGATATGTTGAACCGTTGCCGAATGATCGAGTGAACATTAAAAAACTAAATTAATGAATCCCACGGGAACCGTAACTATTCCCGGGATATAAAGTAGCCTATGTGTTCTTCCAGACTATGCTCTAAACCTGTGCCAAATTTCATGGAGATCCGTTCAGCCTTTAGGCTACAAACGCTAACAAACATCCATCCATGTAAACTTCGCATTTATAATATTAGTAAGATAAGATTAAAAACTGATATTTATGATGTTTTTTTTTTACAGGATACGGTAGCAGCTGAGAGATTCTACGGCGCGTTGTTAGAGAAAGTGGATACAATTCTGACGCCGATGGGAGCGAATGACATCGGCTGCAGGGAGCGAGCTGTCTGCGCGATGTACAGCGATCCGTTCAAACATTCACCATACAGTAATCTAGTCTCTAATGAACTGAGCAAGTGAGTACTATCTATATACTAATATTTTAAAGAGGAAAGATTTGTATTTTTGAATTTTTTGTATGAATTGAAATAAGTCATAAACTAGACCGATTTCAAAAAATCTTTGACTAATAAAAAGCTACGTTATCTCTGAGTAACATAAGCTATTTAATTTCATGTAGACGAAGTCGCGAGCATCAGTTAGTTCAATAATAAAACACTCATGTTTGACCTCTATTAAATGGACAGGCTTTAAGGTGGTAGTAGTTCGTTGCAAGGATTCGAACTAATAATAAAGTCAAAAGCTATGGTTCCCAAGCCTATTCATTGTTATCGAAATCAATGTTACATCTTACTAATATTATAAATGCGAAAGTTTAGATGGATGGATGGATAAATGGATGGATGTTTGTTAGCGTTTGTAGCCTAAACGGCTGAACGGATCTCTATGAAATTTGGCACAGGTTTAGAGCATAGTCTGAAAGAACACATAGGCTACTTTTTATCCCGGAAATAGTTACGGTTCCCGTGGGATTCATTAATTTAGTTTTTTAATGTTTACTCGATCATTCTACAACGGTTCAACATATCTTATTGAAATTTGGCACAGATATAAAACAAAGTCTGGAGTACACATGGGATAAGCTTCGTCCCCGAGAAATGTCCGCTTCCCGAGGGATACGTAACTTTTTGTAATTTATATAGTTTGTATGTTTTCTAATACTACGCGGACGAAGTCGAGGGCAACAGCTCGTGTTTTATATTTGAAAAATAGATGGCGTTATTAGGCATTTACATATTTCTTCTTCACTTAAGTTCCAGTTTATTCAAGCTTGATATTTAAATTATGAAATGCATGTCTGTTAAGAAGAGTACATGTGAAAGAAAATAATTGTTTGTCATGTATCTGTCTTCATCGTTATTATCTGTGATCCAAATTGTATTTAAGTTTTTTTTTTTATTTTATCGGTCATGGTATTTGATCACAAATTACATTTACTACGGTTGACAGAAAATGGTATTCGTGCCACTAATTCTATTGTTATTTCGGTTATTACAAAATTTGTTTGTAATGACAAGAGAGTACATAAATTATACACATTTCATCGTTTTGATAGAAAAATGGCAGTATACAATGTACATTTTCCAAGACAAGCATTTAAAGTTTTTAAATTTCTTAATTTTTTATTTAAATTTTAAAAATTGTGACATTGTGACATCTACCTCTACCGGTGTACCTCCACATTCATAACTAACGTCCTTCTTATTACATGCGAATCATCCCTTCTCATAACATGCCCATACCATGCTAACCTTTTACTCCGTACCTTCTCTACCACTGCGGCTACTCTCAAACTTCCTCTAATATACTCATTAGTGTTACACATCCATCTTAACATTCGCATTTCCGCCACATGTATTCTTCTTTCAGCCATCCCTTTTACTGCCCAAAATTCCCCATTATTAACTATTTATGTAACTTTTAATTAATTCTCTTGTCTTTGTTAATGATATATTTTATTATTTCCTAGGGACTCCAGTGAATTAGTTCCTCCAGCTGACAGCAAGATGGCGCTGAGGTACTACAGATACGTGCAAGCGGCAAGGGACGGACAGGAACAGAAAGACTGTACATTATTATACCCACAATGTAATATCAATTATAATCAAAAGTAATTTAAAATATAGTCCATACAATTTAGAATAAAACTGAAAGAATTATGTGCCTCAAAGGCTTTAATTTTAAAAAGTGTTTGTAAATTATTTCGTAAATTAAAAGTTAAAAAAAATATTAAAGAAAACTTCGAGTGTTTTACACTTTTTGTATTTGGTTTTCTTAAATAACTGAAGATATTTAAGACCAAACATATACATAATTTTGTGTTTACAGAATATTAGAAATCATAAATTTAATTAAATAACCTTTTTTGTTTTTAAATGTATTGATTTTTATATAAGACAGAAGACTTGAAGATTTTCTTTTCATTGATAAATTTGTGGTTAGATTCCGCTATCCTAACGCCATCTCTTGGTGCTTTAACTTATCATAAGCTAAGTTAGCTTTTGACAAAAGATAGATGACGTTTGGAAAGCTTTAAAACAAAATTACTTTTTAAGTAACGATAACTTAATTTAATATTTTAAAATAAAAACGAATATAGTTGTTAATTCTTAAATTAATTAATTCTTGCATTTCTTAGATAGTTTTTTCTTAATTTAAGTATTTATTTCTAGATATAAGCGTATTGTTAAATATTTTTTTTTAAATTTCTGTTTTAAAGAAGTATTCAAATAATATTGAAGGAATAATGTATTAAATTACTTCACAACCTAAATGTCCCTATTTTAGGTTATCTAAATTTTAAATATAAATTATTATTAACTTAATTTTATTTTAAATCAATTATTAATAAACAATTTAGTCACTAGGACTTTAGTTTCCGTTTCAAAGATATGTTTGCTCAAAAAATGTAGAACGTTACTATGAGTTTTCACTGACGTAGCAAAAACATATTGTCATTTTTTTATACAAGAAGGTGGTAAACGAGCGAGCGGCCACCTAAATCCGCCAAATTAGCGAAGCGCTGGCCATAGTCATCCGCAATTGCAAATGCGTTGCCTACTTTAAATCGACGGAGAAGACACATAAAGAGGATATTTTCCCTTTCTATGCGTCTCCTCCACCGTCAAATCCACTTTCCTATCCAATCCTTTCCTTAATAGAAAAGGTGGGACGGGAAAGGGACTAAAATATCATTGTCCTTTCGTTAAAAGAATGACATGTTTTTGGAAACAACAGTGAAACTCACGGTTAGTCATCGTTCGGAATAATCCAAATTGTTTATCGCAAAGTTTATTCAATTAGTGATTAATAATTTATTTTTATATTTAATAAAATAAAAAAGACATTATGTTCATTTTGTTTTATTTAGCCTCACAAGCTCACAAGTCCCCACTGAGGGGCTCGAAGTCTATCCTAAGTGTGGGTATTGGGTTACTGCAGTTTCTATTTTATCACTTGCTTTCGCCCGTGACGCTGTCCGCGTGGTATAAAAAAAAGCATGTGCCTATGTGTAAATATTTCGTATACTCATATTCCGTGACGGTAATGCTGAAATTTAGTCGTTGCTGTTCGAAAAGTGGCAGGCGCTCGAAAACACTATGTATTGTTCCAGACTACGCAACTCTTCGGCCAGCTTCTACAAACTCTAACATCCATCCATCCGTCCATCCATCTAAAATTTAGTATTACCTAGTGATCGATTACTGTTAAGTTTAACTTAGTTTTTAAACGCGTTTAAAAGCATTTTATGAGGCTATGGAACCAAAAACACTAACGGTTAAAAATAGTTTGAAAACCGGTCATAGACCTAGTCAATTAATTTGCTCTATGGCCGGTGAATTACACACATACGAATTTGTATTCCGATTTTAAAATTATAAGCCAAATGTGGCCTATTACCTTATAGCTTCTACTACTAATATAGTAATACTTGTTTAACTAGTAATCATCACCAGCTCACTATACGTCCCCACCGAGAGGCTCGGAGCCTACCCTAGTATGGGGTGACTAGGCCATAGTCAACCACGTTGGCCCAGTGCGGGTTGGTTGACTTCACACATATCTTGTAATTTCTTCGCCGATATGTGCAGGTTGCATCACGATGTTTTCCTTCACAGTAAGAACGTCGAGTAAATTATGTTTAAATGAAAATTCGAAAATTACATTGGTTCAGTGGGATTCGAATCCAAGACCTGTAGATTACAAGTCGAGTGTTCTAACCACTGAGCCACCGACGCTCTTTTAACTAGTAAACTGGTAATGTATTTCAAAATGTTGCCATAGTAATGTACAGTTAACGTTTTGTTGATTTTAACAACGTAAACAATGATTACGCGATACGCAACAGTTTCAACACAATGCAATAAATGAGAGTTCACCTAATCGTAGTTAACGTGTTTCTGGTAAGCATTTTTTTAACAACAATTCTATAGATGATGTTTTAATTAAAATTTTTTACAAATTATTGTTGAATCTTAAGTCAAAATAAAAACACACAGATTACATAAAGCATTAAACTCTTCTAAAATTAAATCTAAAGCCGACATTAAATCTATAGCCGCTCTGTTTAAACTGATTTATTTTCTTTATGGCATACGAGTTAGCGACAACTTGAATCCGCTGAAATGGCGAAGCAATTGCTGTCAATTGACATGATGTATGGACTACCTTTAATCGAAGGTGGAAGAGACGCAACTAAAGATCACATAACTCTTTTCTATGCGTCTCCACCGTTAAATCCGCTTTCTCTTCCCATCATCATCATCATCATCCTCAGATCACTATACGTCCCCACCGATGGGCTCAGAGCCTACCCTAAGTAAGGGGTGACATCCACAGTCAACCACGCTGGCCAAGTGCGAGTTGGTAGACTTCACACATATCTTTGAATTTCTTCGCTAAAATATGCCGATTTCCTCACGATGTTTTCTTCGCCGTAAGAACGTCAGGTAAATTATTTACGTATGAAAATTCGACAAATCGAAATTCACATTGTGCGGCTAAGTTAAGTTAAGTGCTTAAACCACTGAGCCACCGACGCTTCCATACTTATCAGAAAAGGGAGGAAAGGAAATGGGATTGAAATTAGGCGCTCACACTGATCAGACAAAACGTGGAATTACTCCCACTTCACTATCAATGTCTCTCGTCACTTGTGTGAATATCTAATTTCATTTCTATTTCGGTATTGGCAAACAGTAGAGGTGACTTCATTTCACAGCCAACGGTCAGGCGGAACTTTGCACCCTCATTTCACTTCGATACGTGATCAAATGCGTAATGAGGTGAAATTCTATAGAACTGATTAGTATAATGTATGGATAAACATGTTTATAATGTATAATTAACTGTTGGATTGGAAAAGAAAATTCTAGAAAGAAAATACAAGAGATTTTTGAAATTTACTAGCATAGTTCAGTTAATAATTATTTTACTTCTGACAAATAAACTATCAATAAATCTAAATAATAAGGAGTCATTAAACTGATAGGTATAATTTTCTTTTTATTTATTTTTCCCTTTAATCATTAGCCTCGGTCTCTCCACTGGACATAAGATATTTATGCCAACTAATATAGCTTTTTAAAACAAATGCTTACTGACATTTTAAATCTAATTTTTATTGTCGAATTCAATAACATTCCACACGTGAGTAGAATTGAAAGCGCCTGTCGAAATATTTGCCATGTACTTATGAAAACATTTTCACAGGTAACAACTGTTTTCACACCAGCTGTCTGTCATCGGAAAATGAAAACAGGACATGCAGATACCGAGTTAAATACTCTACTAAATATATACAAAATGAATCCTTTAAAACGTTCCAAAGTGTATGAAAAGTTTTCTAAACAGTTACTGTCGTTTACGCCGGATACAAAACGTCCCGTCTTGAATATTGATTTAAATGAAAGTGGAAGGCAAAAGGAAAAGAAAACGAGTACCAAATTTAGACAAATCGAATCGATTGTAAGAAATTCGCAAGAATATACAACTGATTTTAATCCTTTCCATGAAAATACTCCAGAGAATATACAAAGTTCTTTAATAGATGACATTTTGAAAATGGAACACTACAATACAGATGATAAAATCGCTGAAGAAGAAATCAAATTACTGGTCGATAATGTTGATGGTAAACTCATTTCTGGTACAGTATTAAATGACATATCTGAACAACAGAAACAACTTAATGGAGAATCTATGTTTTCCAATGGAAATTTTAAAAGGGCAGAAGAATCAAGCTACAATAACGTTGTCGTACTGAGATAGGGTAAAAATAAACGATTAATGGAATTTGAAAACTTAAATAATAATCTTTATTTACAGAATAATAAATAATTTAAATAAATAAATTAATCAGAGGTCCGTGTTATTTTAAAGCTTAGTATATGTTTTGGTTTAGATTTGGCCTGAGTAGGCGATTTCATGGGCGTCTTCGTAGGATCTCGCTTGGTATGGGCCGTGGGAGTCCCAGCCTGGGGCGTGGTGGTCTACGTGGTGTTCAACATGATGCTGGGGATAGTGGATCACTTCGTAGTTCACAACCTTGGGCTTGGTGAATTTGAAGATGACCATAGCACCTGGAAAAGAAACAAAGATCATAAATCTCACAAAAAATAACTTATAATTAGGAAAGAATCTTGATATTTTTTCCCATTGTATGATTGAGTGTATGACTTAGAAGAACTTACCAGAAAGAACAAGAGAGATGAGACCAAGAGTAAGCGCCTTCCAGGTCTTAAGGGCGATCATGGCGAGAGCAAGGGGCACGAGGACAGCAGTCTTGAATTTCAATCCGAGAAGGAAGGGCAGGACCACCTTCTTGATGAAACCGTGTTCTGGAATAAAAAAAAATAGTTAAAAACAAAATATCTCTTGAGTTTTGCGGTCTTGATGTTTTAATGTGTTATTCAGCTACGCACTGCTCTTGATTCTTAAAGGCTTGGGGAGCTTGATCTTCTTCTTCCTGCCTTCGAAAGTCTCCACCTCCTCTTCACCGTCCAAAGGCATGCTCAGCTCAGAAGGCAGGTCAGTCAACAGCGACCTGGGCACATACTCCGAGGCAGAAGAACTAACGATCTCATCGGGCACTTTCACTCTGACAGAATGAGTTTGGAGAAAGCGGTCTACTTTATCGAACAACGCATAAGTAGGGTCTTTAGCCATCCTGGGGTCTACTTCTTCATCTTCTAAAGTTCCCATCTTAACAATGGACAGATCATCTGTGATCTTTATTTCATCATCGTTTCCCACTCGAGAAATCCACTCCAATGTTCTTGGCTTCACACACTCCACGGAATATTGACTCAAACATTCTTTGTAAATGTTTTTAACGAGTTTTGATGCGGGATATTGAGCACTGGCAAGCGCCGCAAGGGATAGTATCACAAATAATTTCATTTCGCACTTTATATTTCGCGTATTGTTTTAATTAAACGACGGCAGATGCGTCCGACTGCCGTCCGACAAGCGGTCACAATGTATGCTATGGATGTCCAGGGCTCGGTTTATATACAAGCATTAATACGTGACGTGATATCGGAATGCACGATGGTGCTATCTTCGGCGATACTTGCGGGGTGAGCTTGTGGTACATTTTAATTTTGTATTGGTGAGAAGTTACTTTGTATTGATGTTCCTAGTTCTTAGGATGAAATGGTCACTTATAAAGATGTATCAATAAGTGTTAAGATAATCATACTTTTAAGGCTTCATTTATTGAAACATATAGTTATTTAGTAATTTAAATTCGGAGCCCTCATAACATTTTAGTAAGCAACGGTTAGTAGCATATAGCTTCTGTAACTATAGAAAACAACTTCTTGAGTTCATTAATGTTGCCATGGTAACTTTAAGTCAAAGATTCAAAAGATTTTCAGTTTTTTTTCGCGTGATTTCAATTTCACGTGCTTTTATAACTACATCAAAATGTGTTATTGAGAAATAAGTTAAGTTTAAGAGATTAAAGAACCTAAAATGTGCATTTCCTGTACATTTAATTAAGTGCGTTCTTAAAACTAAGAGAGACCAAAAAAATCTAAATATTTACTTACTAAACTAAGTTTACCTGTACATAAGCATTAAGTATTACTCTTATACTAGATATCGTTGATGTCTTTTATATGGACATACAAAAACCATGTTTTATCACAGTTTTTACAACGACAATGAGAATGTAGATAAATACGAGCTTTCGCCCGCGACTCTGTCCGCGTTAAATATAAAAAAAGTAAGTAGCTATTGCGTTCTTCCAGACTATGCTCTACATCTATGCTAAGTTTCATCGAGGTCCGTTCAGCCGTTTAGGCTACAAACTCTAACAAACATCCATCTAAACTTTCGCATAATATTAGTGAGATTGGAAACAAATGAACGGTGGGAACACCGAGGTGCTAATGATGCCCATTACTGTTCTGCAACACTAAAAGAACTGCAGATGCCTTGCTATCATTTGAGAAGGATAAGCTCGTTTCTTGAAGGACCCTAAGTTCTACTGCTTTTGTAAGACCGCCCAGCATTAAAAATTCACTGTTAAAGATCAAGACGATTCAAATTCCAATTCCCGATTTGCTAGAGGCCTTATTTATTACTAAAAATGTAAGTAACGAAAACAGTTTATAAATATTAGCGTTACGCTAATTTCATTCTAATTGTTCAATTATTTCAGACGGCGTTAACATACATTTATTTATTCACATGTTAGGAATTAATTTAATCCTATGCGATAAGTTAAGCGTATGTTTCCACTGTTTAAATTTAAGTTATGTATCTCTTTCATCTCAAATAGAGTGAGCGAGATGGATTTATATTGGTTTTATATGAACTGATGTATCGACATTAAAACTAATGGTTAGTAAACATTTATGATGTCACGTTTTACGTCAATGTACTTAAAACAAACAGTACCTAAAGAGCTAGATAACAAGGTTGGTAATTGTCTGTCTAAAAAGAAATACATTCATTTTATTCAATAACAAAATTAGAACGCACATGCTGAAAATCAATTCTAACTAAAATTGTGTAAACAAACGAATATCGGCTAACATATGAAGCGATTTCCTTAACTATCATATATTTTGATTATTACTTTATGGAATCCATAAAATTAGGTACCATAATTTTCAATCTTTCAGGACATCGTTCATCACAAGAACAGATAGCTTCAACTACTTCCACACTCATAGTCGTCGCCAGGGTGAAAGGTAGATGTCCTCCCCCATAGACAATTGAAAAATCTGAAGATAATTCTCCTTTAGTGCCTTTTATTTTCCACCCTTCATTTTTTAAGAAAAGGACTGTACAGAAGGAGGACTTGAGAAAACGATGTTATCCTATTTATGTGTGTCTCTTCCACCGTCGATTAAGGGTAGGCAACGCATCCACTATTGCAATCTATGGTCAGCGGTCGCTTCGCCAGTTTGGTGGAATCAGGTGGCAACTTGCTCGTTTGCCTCCTTATGATATAAAAAAGTAGTTCGAAAAGGACTATATTAGCGACAGAGGTCCCTACAAAATGTAGTATAGATCATTGAGCCATGACTCCTTTACAGTAGCTATGCCAGTTAATTTACAAAGTCTGTCCTTACAATTATATAAAAGAAAGTGACACTTTTTAACGCGTGACATTGCGTTCGCATTCCTTACGTAATAAAGTCAACATTTCATATAGATTCCCCATTCAAGTCACACATTCGAGTGAAAGATGTCGCTTCAAAACGGATACTAGCGTCCGTGATATGATTTCCAACATCCATCCAGCCTACGCCCAACTTCGGAACTATATTGAATTGTAATAGAGTCGATTGTAATGGATCGCTTAAAATGTTATAAATACTCTATGGTCGTGAAATTTAAATCATTGATTTATTATGACAGCTCAGGTTACACTGAAATCCAAACGTTCCTTAAAATTCAATTTTAACGGTTTTATTATAATTACAATTATTTTCACAAACGAGAATAGTCTGTACATTAACTTTTCTCACATTTACTAACGTTTTTCGCGCGTTTTTTAAACATTTTCTTAGTTTTTTCTCATAGGCCATTTCGACACCCTTAGCTAACAAAAGAAATTCAAATACATCACAGTTCATTAATGTGTCTTCTGGGAGAGTAATAGTTAACACGATATTAAATCGAATTGTCATATACTACAAATAACATAAATTATATTTAAAATGTAAACAAGAAAATCTAACAATCGTCTTTTAATTGAAGGCAGAATATGTAATATTTAATGGCGCTATTTCAAACAGCGCGGCGATATAAATAAATCGCTATGTTAAATAGCTTACAAAGTATCCGGTTAATATTAATTGGCCTACAATAATCGTTTCAAGTGCAAAGAAAACGTCGCCCTAAACATGGCACCTTTAATTGATTTATTTCTTGCTGTCAAGCGATCACCAGTTTTAATATTCCGAGGACGAAATGCAGCGAAATCGTCCTGAATAAATCGTCGGCCGACCCGTCAAACTAATCAATGGATAATTCCGAATCTTTTGTCTTCCGTTTAGACCTTAAGAATCTAGGACATTGAGTTTTGTTTTAACGTTACCTATTATTTGTTTTAACTGCCTATATGTACTGCTCTTGACTTTATTTTCGCTGCCATAAGTAAATGAAGATTGAGTACATTTTGAGGAATATTTGAATGTAAAATCATATAGAAAAGTCTGGGTAACATACTAAACGTAATTGTTATTTGAAATATCAGCATAATATCAAAGTAGCTTTGAGCACCTAGGGATGGACAGAAGAATTAAAAAAAATATATCCTGAGTTTACTTAATGACGAAAAAAAAACTCAAATTGGTTTAGTAAATCTTAAACTAATCTGGCACCAATAAATCATTAAAGTATTCTTTGTGTGAGTACTAAGGACAGAAAAATGTAAAATAAAAACACTAACATGTAATTAAAAACTGTTCTCGATCTTTCTGGACTTTATTTATGGTCTGTGCAACGCGACCATAGATAACAGCTCTGTCACATTTGTCATTTTCACAAGTAAACTGATGTCAGCGTAGTGTTGAAATTTGTGAGAGATTAGGTTTTATTGTGCTAATTTAAGTGATTCCTCGAACATTTTCTCACATTATATTCTGATATCAATCTTTTTGGGACGTAAATCGTCTTATGTTTATTCGGTGACACGTAATTTAGGTGTGTTTCCGAAATGACAATGGCGAATAACAGAATACCATCGGGACCCAATACGCCTGGAAGTCAGCAAACGCCTACACAACAAGGAATAAAAATCTTCATACAAAGGGATTATTCTGAAGGGACTGCTGTTAAGTTTCAAACAAGGTTTCCACCTGAGCTAGAAGATAGAGTAAGTGAAAGTTTAAAGCAAAAGATTTCTACTTGAAAATCGTTATATCACTTAGATTCTAGTTTTTGAATTGATATTTGCCTAGTCTAGTTCTTTTTACATGATTATTTAAAGCTATAATTGATATTTGGAATTATAAGTCTATGCTAGCTCTTTGTTCTTAACTAAATCCAAATATAACAAACTTACAAAATATTAGTAGGTTATTCAGTATTAAAAAAAATGTTTAAAAATTAATTCACTATTATATATCTCTAGCAAAGATTGTACATTTTAGAGTATACAATACAAAGTTATCATAAAGATTTTATCATCATCACTAGCTCACTATATGTTCCCACTAAGGGGTTCGGAGCATATTCTAAGTTAGGGTGAATAGGCCATAGTCAACCACACTGGCCCACTGCGGGTTGGTCAACTTTATATACTTTTGAATTTCTTTGCTGAAATGTTAGGTTGCATCACAATGTCTTCTTTATAAAGAGAAAAAAAATGTTCTCCTTTACCTTAAGAAAATTAGGTAAATCATGTACATATGAAATTTAAAAATCACATTGGTACATGGCGAGTTTAGAACCCAAGACCTTTAGATTACAAGTCAACTGATTCAACCAACTCCTAAAGATTTATTTATTTATTTATTAAATCTTTATGCAAATCTTATAATACAAATGGATAAACTATGCTAATACAAAAAACTTGCAAGGGCGGCCTTATTGCTATAAGCAATCTCTTACAGGCAACCCAGTGGGACAGGAGAAGCTAGACAATACACAAGGGAAATTAATACATATAAGAACACTAACACACATATTTACATCCTACATAATAAACAGACATACATATACAGCAAATAAACTAAATAAGGAAAAAGCAAAAACAAATCAGCGAGAGTCACTCTTAAGGAGATGGCTATGCAACTTGGTTTTAAAGATTATTTATACTATAATATTTAACAATAACCATTGTAACAAGGCATTTAAGAACAATATATTATAATTTTTCAGATAGACAGACAAACATTTGAATACACAATGGAGAGATTGAATGAACATTTTGAAATGGCGGAGACCGCTGACTGCAGTACATACTGCGAAGGATGCCTAGCCTGTCTCACAGCTTACTTCATTTATATTTGCACGGAGACACATTATGAAAAGGTGAATATAAATAAACTATCTGTTCCCATGCAACTTTATCCGCATAAAATGAAAATTTTATTTTATTGTTTTACATTTGTCAAATTATCAATAGAAAAGGTCAAAATTACATGACGTGACAAATTTTGACAATCTTGCTTCCTTGATGTTGGCAGCAACTTATGGTCTCTTTCCCACAATAGGATTTTATCCAAACTATTTACCTCCTAAGTTTATTGGCGTGAAAATATATAGCCTAAAGCGTGACACAAGTGTAGGGCTTTTCATTAAAGAAAGAATTATTTAAAAATATGGTGTAATTGCTGACATCTTAGGCGACAAAGAAGTGTGTGTTTACACTTTATTATAATAGTATAGATAAAAACCTCTTTATTGTCGTCATATGTGTATATCACACTAATTACTGCAACTTCTGCTGTGTGAAATTAAACAAATAATAACAACATAGCCTGTGTTACTCACATATAGTTTTTTAAAGATGAAAGTATTTTCAAAACCAGCCGAGTAGTTTTTGAGTTATTTCCATACATACAAAAATACAAATCTTTCCACTTTATAATCTTACTGCTTACTTATATTATACATGCAAATTTAGATGGATGGATGTATGTTGGTTAGATTTTGTAGCCTATACTGCTGAATGGATTGCAATGAAATTTGGCATACATGTATGGGATATTCTGGAAGAGCACATAGGCTACTCATTGTTGCTTTTTTTTTAGTTCCATGCGGACAGAATTTATTATTTAATTTTAGGTAAAAAATAATATTGTGCTTTTTCCATTCCAGCATCTTCGAAAAATATCGAAGTTTATAGCGACGCAGAACGAAAGAGTGTACAATCCTCGAGGAATACATATAACCGATCCAATACTTAGAGGTCTAAGAGTCATAGAAATCACGGTAATAGATTTACCTAACTGCCAAAGCCCCACCGGCAACTCAAATAACACACAAATGAGGCATACTTGACCACCACACGAAAACCGGGAGTTCTTCATGTAACAATCAAGGTACTGGTTTTGAACCACTATTTTTTAAATCATCGGTGTTAACTTAGAATATCGGGCACAACAAGCAAAACACGCTACAAGTTATTCCAAGTGTGTTAAGTTTAAGTACACATGTAATTAAGTTCACTTGAAGTTATTCAATCAATCTGGCTGTATAGTTCAGATGTACAGTGACATCTGTTGGCGGTAATCGATTTACAGAGTTTTATTCCTTCCTAAACCAAATTATCACAAATAATGAGGCTTCTATTGATATTTTGATCAAAATATAAACTTACTTGCACTATTTTACTAGATATTTCCATATTGAATTGCTATTTTTACTGATTATTTTATTTTTATTGTCAATTTTAAAGTGGTATACCTCCAATGAATGTAACTGTACACACCTTAATTTGCCCCAGTCTTTTTCCTTGAGTTATAAATTCCTTGGGTGTTGTGATGATAAAAAAGTATTCAGTTATAGTTAACTTTGTATTGTATTGTTTTGTAATAAAATTACAGTATTTGGAATGGTGAGTTTTCACTGTTAAGCACTAGTACAGTTAGGGAATCTAGCGGTGTTCAAAAGCTACAATTGTTTGAATGTTTAGTACACATTGAGATGCCTAATTTTAGTCCCTTTCCACCCTTTTCTTAAGAGGAAAATATGGGAAGGAAAAGTGTATTTGACAGCGAGGGAAAATACCCTGTTTATGTGCGTCTCCTCTTCTGTCAATTAAGGGCAAAGTATCTGCAATTATGGATGTCTATGGGCAGCGGTCGCTTCGCTATTTCGGCGGATTCAGGTGACCGCTTGCATGTTAGCCACCTTATGTTTAAAAAAAAAAGACGCGGAACATTAACCAATAGAATGGTTTTAAATGTGTTTGTATGAAAAAAATGACGGTATTAAACAATAAATAAAATGCCTAGTATCAACTTGGCATTTTTTTTTATTATTCCGATCGTTTATGCAACTTATTGATAATTGATTATTTGTAATAGGCGCAGTGTGTTTATTTAAGAAAAATTTCGATATAAGGGCACCGCAAAATTCCGCGACTGTACATTTTTTGTAAGTTTTGTTAAAGGGAAAGAATATATCGTTTTTGTTTGTGTTAATGTAATGGAAACCCAAGTTTTAATACACATTCCTAATCGTAAATCAGTTGTTTAAGGAAAGGATGTCTTTTGTTAGAGAAATATGTTCTCGGGCTACACAATATATTTGACATTGAAATTTCCTTTTGTAATAGTTTGTTTTACTAATACATTAAGGGCCTGTCCCATCACTGGCTGATAGTCCCAGATAGTTTCAAATGACGTCACTGTCAGATAATGTAACAAAATCCGAAATTTCCTTCACATTTTACATGATTGTTAGAGAATTTACAATTTGGTGGGATAGAGCCTTAATATTATTAAATATAGGTAAATATTAAGTGATAAGGAAACATTTTTAATGTGACGAAACATTAAATTGTGTGTGTTCCTTAAGTAGTTTTGTGGTTTAAATACCAGTACAATGAAAGAACTCCTGAGCCAAATTATCTTCCATTATCAATGGAATTTATTGATAAAATGAAATGTGATGTTTAATATTTTATAAAGATATTTTCATTCATTTCGAGTGGATTATAAGATAGGGACCAATCCCTAAAATTACAATTGTCAGATCCAAATTTGGGATTAGGGATTGGTCCCTATCTTATAATCCACTCCAAAATAACAATTGTCAAATACAAATTTGACAATTGTAATTTTCACGTTAACAAAATTAATTAACGCTTTTTTATTTTTTCCAAACTATAAAAAGTTTAAATATAAAGTTTGAATAACAATAACATTTATAAACATAGTTTCCACTTATTCAGTATAGACAAGAATCTTTTTTGTTATGTGTATGACAAAAATAGTCTATATCTGTATAAAAATTTTTACCAAATCTTGATTTTTTATTTCTCTTGAATGTGACATTTCAAATTCAAGGGAATAAGAAATCTTAGCCAAGACATTATACATAAGATTGCATTTAACAGTTTATAGTGCTAGAAATTTATCTGGCCCGATAGAATGTTCTAGCTCTGTTTCTTTATAATAAAACTTGTATAGAAAATAACAAAAGATGTAATAGCAAATCCTCGTAACGACCCTCTCTGTTACAGTTTTAACTGTTCAGGATAAATTTTAATTAATGTTCAAATTTAAAATCAAATGGTTGATTTTTTTAGTCAAAACTGTTAGAAGTGACTTACTGACAGTCTAATAGAACTGGTTTAGGGTCCGTTCAGACGGGCCTGAGATTTTTTATAATAAATTGAATTTTATACAATCAAAATAAGGTTTACTTTATTTTGCACCGCTTTTCTTATGTGTAAAGCTTAGAAATTCGAAAAGTATATAGAGAAGGCATATTTGACACTTCACTTGAAACATTTTTATATAATTTTACTATCTATGATCCTTATAATCACATGTCAATATAGTTTATTGTTAATAAGTATCATAAAATAATATTTTAATGGCTTATTTAAATTTGTAAGCCTGTTTAGTTTATTTTATAACAAAAGATGGAGTTTATTATGATTTTGTAAATTCTTTAATTACATGTCAATACAAGGACACAAGGTGGTCTTAAGTTGACAGCTGACAGAGAAAAAAAAGAGTTTTTTTTTTTATTTACTATGCCTTGTCTATATATTTTTAATGTCTTTGGTGAAAAATAATATATAATTCAAATGTTAAGCTTAATTTTATTTGCAATAAAAAATCTAATCTCTTTGCCTCGGTTAGTGTGAATGTACCCTTACCGTCAATGAATTTTGTAACTTTTTATATGAGCAGTGCAATATAGTAATTTTATTCCATATGCCTACCGGGTCAGATAAATTTGTCCGATTATAATTATCCCATTTACATAAGGGGTATATACAGAGTACGTAAAAATGTCTGAGTTTAATTTTTAAGATTTAAATTTTTTCTCGCATAAAGTTTTTGTTGGGTTAGATTTTAATTTAAAATAATATGCATATAAATATTTATTTGGTTATAATTAAAGGCAAATTAATTACTTGCCAAGTTTGCTTTATATTTTTTTTTATTTTTTCTTTCTTAGCCCGAAAATAATTTTGCTTTATAATGTAAAATTATTTGATAGATAATGTTAATAAATTAAAATTACTAACGTTTTTTTTAAATCCACAGAAAGCAAATTATTTTTTCTTTCATTTCATTTTTTTAATAGTATTTAATATTAATATCTAAAATACTTGTAATAACTTATTTTAAGTATTGTATGTATGAAGTGTAATATATGTTCCTTGTATTTCTAATTATCTAAATTATTGTAATATTTTATTGTATAGTTACTGTAAAGGTAAGTTATCACTGACATTGATACTAATTTTGTTTACAATCATTTCAAGTGAAAATGTTTGTAAAAATATTTCGTCAGTGGAAACAGACTTTAATTGTTATAAAGTAAAAATGTTTGTTACATTTTGTATAAGGTTGGGATTTTGAGAATTGATATCTAGGTTTAATTCGTGTATGTAAAAAAACGACATTCTGTACTAATTCGTAGCATTTAAGACCAGAGGAGTATATTGTACATTTTATTATTATTCATATTATTAAATAATTGTATATTGACTTTTATTACCTTTTAAATCCTTATTACACTAGCTGTTCCCCTGACTTCATCCGCATAGACTTATGAAAATGTTATTTTATTATTTACATGTGTCAAATAATCAATTGCAAATGTCAAAATACCAATTACCTTAATATGGCAATTTTGCTTTCTTGATGTTGGCAACTTATGGTCTCTTTCCTTCATTAGGGTTTTTATCAAAAATATTTACCCCCTTAATGGCATGAAAATATATATAGCCTATAGCGTGACGTAAGTGTAGGCCTTTTTATTAAAGAAGGAATTATTCAAAAATATGCTGTGATTGCTGACATCTTAGGCAACAAAGAAGTGTGTTTTTTCGCTTTATTATAATAGTATAAAAGTTGAGAGGAGGCATAGTTGACACTTCAATTGCAACATTTTTCACATAATGTTCATCATCACCAGCTCACCATGTCCCCACCGAGGGGCTCGGGGCCTACCCTTAGGGTGACTAGGCCATAGTCAGCCTCGCTGGCCAAGTGCGGGTTGGTTGACTTCATACATATCTTTGAATTTCTTCGCCGATATGTGTAGGTTTCCTCTTGATGTTTTCCTTCACCGTAAGGACGGGTAAAATATGTACATATGAAATTTCGATAAATCGAAAATCACATTGGTACAGTGGGATTCGAACCCAATACCTGTAGATTACAAGTCAAGTGCTTAACCACTGAGCCACCGACGCTTTTAACATAATCTTACTATATAATAATAGATCCTTAAAACCACATTTCAATTACATTTAATTTTTAAATTAATTGTCGTAAGGTTTTTGATTTATTTCGTAACAATGTTTAGTTAATTTTATAACAAAAGAGGGGCTTATTATAATTTTGTAAAATGTGTTATTACATGTCTAAACAATGATACGAGGTGCCACTAAACTTGACAACTGATACAGTACCTTTCAATGAAAGTACCTGTGAAGATTTTTTGTTCATTATATTTCTATATACTTTTCAAATGTCTGATCGCCGCCCATACAAAAGTAAATGAATAAACTATATATTCACTATACTATATATTCACTATACTATATATTCACTATACTATATATTCACTTCTATTTTTTACCAGATAAAGATTTTTAGTGCGTATGTTTTGTTTTTATGTATGAGAGTTTGTATGTTAAGAACAAAATTAGTACCGTGCTGTAGAATTGGCGCAACTCTAGATTATCGGCATAAACGTCACGTCCCTAGCGGACAGCTGTCAATGTCACTAGAAGTATGATTGGCGCGCAACCTGATTCCCAACGAGAAGTGTTGCTCTGAGTTTAAAAGCGACAGTATCAATTAAATAAGTTGCCTAAAAGTATGTAAATTCAATTGTAACAGCCTACAGCCTAAACTACTGAAGCGATTTTGACAAATAAAATGTCATTCGATTGGTCTTCTTCCCCTGAGTGTCATAAGATGTTACAGCATCACAAAACACCTACAGAAGATGTTTGAAATTAAATTCTAAAATAATCGTGAAAAGTACAGAGTTCAAATCATACACGTAAATAATTTTTTCATTTTTTATCTTCATGTCGTCAAGATTTTTGTATTTTTTTTTTACATTAAGGTTAGGTATTAATTAACAAAATAATTACGTATAATAAACCTCCGGCAGACGAATTTGCCTCCACATAATTCTTTGTAGAATCTCATAATGTTTTAAGTCTGCGTGGGGGTTGTACAGCGTGGGTTGCGAATGGCGAGGGGTTACGGAGTTCAAGTTTGATGTAAGAAAAAACATTACATCATTGAAGTATAGTTCAATAATTTAACGTATTAAAGAAAATTAATGTTATTTATTTAGTTATTTACTTGTTAGTACATTTAATATTAGCTGTTCCCGTGCGGCGTCATCCGCATGAAATTATGAAAATTTTATTTTATTGTTGGCATTTGTCAAATTATCAACTGCAAATGACATGTCATGGCAACCTCGCTTCCCTGATGTTGGTAGCTTTGTAGTTTATGGTCCCTTTCCCACATGAATGGGTTTTCCCAGTTTATTTATCCCCTAAGTCTTATAGAGTGAAAATATATAGCCTAAAACGTGTCGTAAATGTAGGACTTTTTATTAAAGATAGCATTATTCAAAAACAATGCTGTGATTGCTGACACCTTACGCCACAAAGTAGTGTGTATTTACGGTTTGTTATATTAGTATAGATATAGATTTCGGGTTTGTATGAAAAAGTAATATCAGCGCTACCTATCTGTTTCGAATAACAACACCTGAAACATAGAGAGTAGAAAGAGCCCAGAAATCCACTATTAGTTCCGAATCTAAATTAAAACTTACAGAACCCAACAAACTACCTGTTTAAATAAATAGAGCTATATTATGCTTTAATATTTTGAAATTAAAACTTCATGTAATAAAATGAAATTTAACTGCAGCCGCTCGCGTTTATTACTTGTATAAGCACATTTATAACGACGTATAAGGTAAGAAAACGCCACTATAACAAGACCTACCCGACCTCCATTAGCTGGTTAATATTGGAACTTGATAATAAATCTTCATAGTATCGTAGAGACCGACTTAAAATAGTCGCTAAATATTTACGTAAGGGATATTGCAAGGTAATAAAGGTAGCATACTTAGAATATCTGGTATTTTTGCTTGCAGTCTTTCGGTTGAATAAATCAGAGACAATTATTATAACAAACGAGAGATAGAGATAGACTTAGGGATCTACTCGGGACTTCGTCTGCGCAAAATCTATATAGGTATCTATACTTTTCAGGCGTGAAATGGAAGCAATTCCGTGTTTCGTCTGATGAGTGTGGTGCCGGAGGCCTAATTTAAGTCCCTTTCTCTTTACCACCCTTTTCTTTTAAGGAGAGGTTGGGAAGAGGAAGTGGATTAAACGGTGGAGGAGATGCATAGTAAGGGGAAATATCCTCTGTATGTGCGTCTCCTCCTCCGTCGTATAAGGGTAGGCAACGCATCTGCAATTGCGGATGTCTATAGGCAGCGGTCGCTTCGCCATTTTGGCGGTTTCAGGTGGCCGCTTGCTCGTTTGCCACCTTGTGTTATATAAAAAAAAAACTTAATATAATAAAGTGTAAACACATACAACTTTGTGGCGTAAGATGTCAGCAATCACAGCATATTTTTGAATAATTCTTTCTTGAATAAAAAGCCCTACACTAACGTCACGCTATAGGCTATATATTTTCACGCCATTAAACTTAGGGGTTAAATAAATAGGATAAAAACTCTTATGTGGTAAAGGGACCACAATCTACAAGCTGCCAACATCATGTCATGTCATTTTTATATTTGAAATTGATAGTTTGACAAATGTAAAGAATAAAATAACATTTTCATAATTTCATGCGGATGAAGTCTCACGGGAATAGCTATTGCTACCATATAAAGTATAACCTGTATTACTGACGAGCTGTTGCCCGCGACTTCGTACGCGTGGTATTAGAAAACATACAAACTATATAAATTACAAAAAGCTACGTATCCCTCGGGAACCGGACATTCTCGGGGATGAAGCTTATACCATGTGTACTCCAGACTTTGTTTTCTGTGCCAAATTTCAATAAGATATGTTGAACCGTTGCAGAATGATCGAGTAAACATTAAAAAACCAAATTAATGAATCCCACGGGAACCGTAACTATTCCAGGGATAAAAAGTAGCCTATGTGTTCTTCCAGACTATGCTCTAAACCTGTGCCAAACTTCATGGAGATCTGTTCAGCCGTTTAGGCTACAAACGCTAACAAACATCCATCCATCTATCCATCCATCCATCTAAACTTTCGCATTTATAATATTAGTAAGATTAGTAAGATAATGAAGCTATTTACTGGCGAAAGATTTTTAAACCAGCACAGTAGTTTTTGAGTTATTAATAAATACAAAAATACAAACCATTCTTCGTAGAGTTAAAATTACTTCAATTTCTATTTAAATGAAAGGTCAAAGAGAATAATTCCAGAGGGTATATTAAAACCATTCTTATCTCGCTGATTAAAAGAAAAATTATGAAACAAAAGAATGAAAAAAACACTAATAACTGGTCTTTTGTTATCTATACAAATATTATAAAGATTTGTATTTTTGTATGTATTGAAATTACTCAAAAACTACTGGACCGATTACAAAAATTCTTGCACCATTAAAGAACTATGTACACTGAGTAACATGGGCTATATTTTTCCATTTTTGACCGATTTCCCAAAAGAAGGAGGTATGTTTTTTTTTTTACTTTTTTTAAATTTCACGCGAAGTCCACATTTGCAGATACATTGCCCATTTTTACTTCCCCCCCTGTAATGATACAAAATTCGGGGAAACGGTACGGCTTCCAATTATCTTTGAATTTTCTAAGTAGAGCAATAAGTCAAATGGAGAATTTTATTGTTAAAGTTTTCGAGGGATTGATTTATTTATGCAAAACAACCCCCACCCTTAGCGA